CTGCTTGGAGCATTGATATTGTTGCATTAGTTTAAAATTTCTAAGCAAAAGACGACAAAAAGCACTACTTTTTGTATTAAAATTGTTCATAATAAGAAAACGGAACAAAGTTGGGAGTTAAAAACACATACCTATTAATCTACGCATCCCCTTTTATCGAACAGCAAGCTACGTAGTTTCGCGTAAAAACGTCTTCATGAATCAGGTTTGCTCACGATTGTCACGTGTCATCTTCGAGATACCTCATATGTGTCACGTTCCTACGGCTTCGTTCGTGATGAAGCGAAACGAGAAACTAGATTTCCAATTACCACGGTGATAAACAAGCTCGCGCAATTTGCAACAACCGTTCGTGGTTCGCCAGCGCTTGGTAAAGTGAACGCACAGCATGACTGATGATTCAATCGTACATGTCATTTGCTTCGTGCACGACCAGAGATGGATGATGACTTGTCAGTCTATTATTTTATCGATTTACTATCTTTTGTTTTAGTCAGGACGTTTTAGAAACTAAGAATACGCTTGTTGACAGAATGATGAATGTATTAAATACATCCTTGCGTTTGCTGTTTATTTCGTAATTATGTTTGCAATAGTCTTCTTCATTTGTGTTTCTATAAAAATTTCATCAATATCTTCAATTTTAATAACGATTTTAATCAATGTAATATTTTTCTCCATCCTCATGATGCTTTGTTTTAGTTAATTATGTAATACAAAATGAAATACAAATTATTAAATAGTTAAATAAAATAAAGCATAATGTAGGTGGAAAAAAAATTACAAACATAATAAAACAAACAAGTGGATTATTAAATACTGTTTAAAATAACACGGTGGAAAAATTAAATTGATCGTCTTCCTGAAATGTTTTGGAAAAGAAAGAAACGGTCGTGTAAACTTTTTCCACCGTGGCCTTGAATTAAGAACCTTGATCCATATTTCTATTACTCGAGAGGCTGAGAATATTGATCGCGGTCTTATTCCATCTCGGAGAACTGTCACTCTGAGCTCGCACAAGTCTGCCTCTTTATTTAATACAGTCGTCGAATATTTATCACACGTTTCGCGCAAATTTCTCTTTCAAATTCCGTTCAGAACCTTGTCAAAACTTTATCATGACCATTTCGCGCGCACTCAGGAAATTAAATGTCAAGCGTTCGATTTGGAATGTATAGAAGCAGGTGACATGTGTTCAATTCTGCTTCGGAACGTTTAATTTTGTTCTTTATGGATAGCAATAAACTAAAATGCTCGGGGGAAAATGAGTTTTCGAGCTTTAAAATCGTTCAAACACTTTTAACTCTTTGGGGCACAGGAATTTAGGTCATAAAATAGCCCCATGTTGCACAGGAATTTTATTGCGTTTTAAATCAAACAAAATTGTTATGGATTTGTTCTTTGGATTTGTTCATTTTGAAGCTGAAGGGTCAAAAATTACCTACACTATATTCCAATCACATTTATAGTTTTAAGAATAATAAAACATAAACAATAAATAAAAATATGTTTTTTGTATTACTCCCCAAGTTGCATGGTGGGACGAATAAAATCCTACCATACTTTCATCATCTGCAAACAAATTTAATCTTTAGTTTTTATTATAAAACACTTCACTTGTTTATATAGAACTAACTTTTATATAAATTAACTTACCTCTACGATTTTTCACATAAAACCAGGAAAGAAATATTATCGCAATAAACCTTCCGCTTACAACAATTGTTGAACCGGTATTAGCATGTTGAAAGTTGCCAACATAAGTGCATACATTTGTAACATTGGATGAATATATTACCAACTGCTTTACGTAAATAAGACGAAATATAAACCTATAAACATGCAGCTATTGCAAAATTTCGAGGTGGGATTAAAAATGTCCCACCATGCATTACGGTCCATCAAAAAGGTGGGGCACTTTTAATCCTTCCGTGCCCCAAAGAGTCAAACACTTTCAAACTCTTTGAAACACACTTAAATGAAAGAACGCTTTCTTGCTGGTTCTAATTAAAGGTAACATGTGTTTTTTTTTGTTTCATCAAGGTGGCATCGATGATCTGGTTTACCATCTGCACGGTTACAGCTTCTATGTGGTGGGGGCGAGGAAATTTGGCCGCAGCGTGTCTCTACAAGAACTGAAGAACCTGGACAACAAGGGGCAATTGTTCACACGGAACCTTGAATGTACTGTGGCCAAGGACACCGTCGTCGTGCCGAAATTCGGCGCCGTTGCCATTAGATTTAAGGCTGACAATCCAGGTAAGACTCAGCTAGAAAGAATTCAATATTAAGTTACTTGCAAAATGTAAATTTCAATGGATGAATAAACTTCGGTCAAAGGGAAGTTTTTGTGCATTTCATTGAGGAAGCTTTAGAAGCTTTGAATTTTTTTTTATTAAGAATTCTTTTAATCTCATGACTCTGCAGATTTTCTATATTATTATATATTTTAATTCTAATTATTGGATAATAATTTCTAAAAACTTCGCGAATTAAAATGAATTAACATAATTACAATTTCCTCTTTAATATATTTTTACAATATATGATGACTACTTTTGAAGCGAACCTTTAAATAATTCACGGATATACAATAAGAAGAAATAATAAGAAATAATTTCTATTTTAAAAACCACAATAAAATTCACCATAGTAGAGGGTTAAGACCCGAGCCCTTGATATTCTCTAACCCTAATCGTAAATGAATAATTTCAGGCTATTGGATGCTGCGAGACGAGCACGCCGCTGATTGGACTCGCGGTTTGGACGTGATTCTTCAAGTTGGGGAGACGACTGATATGGCTTCAGCACCAGAGGAATTCCCAAGATGTGGCTCCTTCGTTGGACCCGACTATTTTCTTATATAGACTGCTAATTACTTAAGATTCAAGTGTATATAATTGTAAATAGATTTATAGAGACTGAATGTGTCTAACCATTGGCAAACGCATCATTTCATCTTTTATTTGTATTTAGTATGTCGTAATTCTTCTTCATCGATCGTCCAAGGCATCCCCAGGTCCTGTTTGAAGAATTCATTCAAGTATAATAGAAGCGGGGAAGTGTACAAGCCTTGGCAATGCTTTGTATGTTCAATCAATAAATGCTATCAAGATTATCTGTTGTTTATTTATATTAGTTCTATTATTTCCTACGGTGCGGCGTTTACTTGAATTTTTAACCTTGAATGTCCATGTATCATACTATGTGTTTAGTATATATTTCCACTCGTCATAATCACTGTGGGCACAATTTTTCGGGTAAAGTTCTATATGTTCAATTAATTAATGCTGTCAAAATTATTTATTGTTTGCTTACATTGGTTTCATTAATTCCCACAGTGTTTTCTTGGAATCTTCAACCTTGAATGTTCTTGTATGATAGTGTATATTTAGTATATATTTCTACTCGTTTTAATCATTGTTGGCTCAAATTTTTGAATAAAATTCCACTTCAAGCTCAAGCTATTAAACATATTTGAACGTATTTCAATATGGGCTACGAAATGCCTAAATATCTCTTCCAATTTCGATCATACAAAAAATATTTCGAGATAATAGTATACCTACTTTTTCTATTTTCAACATAAAAAGTATCCACTTATATGCAAAAAGAATATCGATGACCTTAAAAAATTGCTCCCTAAAAAGGAGACATTAAAAAGAACGTATTCTAGTGTATTGGCCTCTTCATATCATTTAAATTGGATATCAAATATTTGTTACATCATCGAAATTGGTAGAGATATACAAGATGAGACATTTAAAACAGGTCACCTGAATAATTCGTTTACTTTTAGCGATAGAAAAAAAAGTGTCGAACAAAAGTTATTTGATTTCGAAGGGCACGTAACGTGGTGCTCTTAACTTATTTATCAGTGGAAGCAATATGTATGTATATGTGTGAGTGTTTCTGTTTGTCTGTGATGACATGGGTGCGGCGCGGGGCGGGGGCCTTGCTTCCCGAATCCCCGCCGAAGCAAGAGTTCCTGCCTCGTGCCTGAATCAATCAAAAATAGGACATCTCATTAACTAGCCCCCTTCCCCTACCCCCACTTAAATAAATTTAAGGAAAAAATTGCATAATAATGCACTATTTATGCGCTCTTCAAAACCGTAAGAAAAAAATTTCGCACTCGCTCTGTTTAATGCAAAAAAATTGATTTAAATGGGGGGGCTGAGTAGGCTCCCAATAAGCCCTTCCACATATTGATGATAAGCAATATTGACAGAAAAACATGTAGAATTAATGCGTTATCGTATAGACCAATTTCGATTTTTGCGCTTCATTCCCCAAGGGACCTCCCTCTTGGTGCAAATGGAAGTTTTGTCTCGTAACTTGCTAATATTACTAAAATTTCATTATTCAACTGTACACGATTAATACTCGATTTCTGTGTTATTATATTGAAGTAACTCCAATTTTTGCGCTCCATCCTTTAAGGGATTTTCTTTTTGGTGCAAATCTAAATTTTGTCTCCTGACTTGTTAACATTAATAAAATGACATTATTCAATTATTAATGATTTTAATTTTTGCGCTTCTTTATTTCAATTTTGCAAGTCATCGACGTTTGCTCAATCCATCTAGTGTATAAGTGTGCGCGCGATGTGTGCGCGTGTGTGTACATACTATTATTAGCATATATTATTTGTACATTAATGTATATCATATAGTACATGAAAGCACTGTTATATTTTATAATAAACCGTTTAGGTAGTAATATTAGCAAGTTACGAGACATAACTTGCATTTGCACCAAGAGGGAGGTCCCTTAGGGGATGAAGCGCAAAAATCGAAATTGCTCTTATACGATAGCGCATTAATCCTGCACGTTTTTCTGTCAATATTGCTTATCATTAATATGTGGCGGGGAGGGGCTACCTGGCAGCTTACTCAGGTCTCACATTTAAATAAATATTTTTGCATTAAACGGAGCGAGCGCAAAATTTTTTTCTTACGGATTTGAATAGCGCATAAATAGTGCATTATTATGCAATTTTTTCCTTAAATATTATTTAAATTGGGGGGGGGGGCTAGCTAGGCAGACATAAAAATAGGTACTTTCAGAAAGGTCACCGCTCATTCCCCGTTAGCAATCAATTGATGCAGAGAACTGTCACCATATTTGGGAGCGAAAAACTGTTAAGCAACGGAGCAGCTTACTGAGCGGCTCAGTGAGGGATGTCTCTCTGAGTGCACCCAATAATTTAAAAAAAAGAAGAGAAACAAAGCAACGTTGGCACCGCGATTCATTTCGTCGCCAACGTCATGCCGCCAGCAACCATAACCATCATTGGGCGAAAATCGAAGCTGCCGTGAATAAGTTACCTCCAGAAGGCTGGTGTTCAGCCTCGGCAGTGATGGCCTGTCTGACCGCCCTTTATTCCCAAACGCTGACTCTACTCTTCGTCCCCCACGAGATACTCTTCCTCCAGCACAAAGTCTTCCGCGAGTACGCCAAGATCGCCGTGGGACCTGACTTCATACACACCCTGCCCTCCTTCCTGATTCTGATGGCGATGGCGTGCGTCCTCTGGAGGAATCCCCCCTCCATGAACAGTGTGTCCAAAGCGGTAGGCTCGACGACCCTGTACAAGGCTCTACAGGTATCGCGATCGAAACCGACCGAGATAGTATTTGAGGTAATGCATCGTACGTTCGTGGTTGAAGGTCATGGTCAGCTGGGTGGTCGGCATCACGGGTATGTGGGGCTGGCTGATCCTTCAAAGGCTCCTCTATTGCTGCGTTTGGACGTACTGGAGTTACGTGAGTAAAATCTTCGATGAGTGATTTGGAATATCTCGACGTGGTCTTTTGAGTGAAATTTGAGGGTTTACAGTGGTAGGGATGTGTAGAGAAATGCTTAGTTCGAATTGGAGGTTAAGGAAACTCGAGATGCCTCATGAATGATGTTTTGGATAAAATAAACGATTCTGAAATTGAATTCTAATTCTAGATATATTTGGATAGCTCAATACTTGTTCAATTTATTAATTTGTTTCGTGGTTTTTGTAAGATAAATTCAGAATAAGGTTGAAGTATAGGTTGACAATAGTCGTTGTTTTAGACGAGCTTCTATGTTTGATCTCTTTTTATTTATTCTTAATAGTTTGATTTCTATAGAGCAAAGGTTCTGGATGGTTTATTATCCAGGAATAAATAATAACTTAATAAATGATGGTCTTATTTTTTTAAAAAGGCACAATATAGACATACAGTGTTTAAAGTTTTTTGTTTGGCTTGGTATTGCATATGCTCACTGTTAAAAATATTTCACAGATTAAACAGTTTCCATATAATCTTATTACTATTTCCAACAAACCTCAATTTTCTTGATTGATTGCAACACACAAATCATGTATTTTTTCATAAAAATATATAAAAGTAAATCAAAAATATTCCCTATATAGAATAAGTAAATATATAAGTAAATCATCTCTAAATGAGGTTCTAATTGCATTAAATAAAAAACAATTGCAACTATGACACACTTAAACATCGTTTTTCGTTACTATTACAATAAACAGACCCTGCTCAAAATTTCCAACAAATGTAACATTTTCATCTTCCAACCCTTTCATTTAAATACTTAATTTAAACACTTAATTTCTCGACCTCTGATTACTCAAATTAAATTTCGTCTTGCCCACAGGGGTCTGAGTATAGAGATATCTCCTATCAATGGTGGCAACAAGTTTGGTCCTCCTATTACCCTCCACCATTTGAACCTCCGGTGATGTCAGCTGGATTTATCAGTTGGATCATATCTATGTCAATAGCAGTGATGACTCTTGGTTGCGCAATATCTGCGAGTCTAATGTGGAATTTTATTGTGGATTCTGCAGGTGAACTGAGGGACACCTTCGCGTTAGCCAAATGTTCCTCGATATTATATTTGAAGAGGTTACTATCATTGACACTCATTATTATTGAAGGAAACATTGCTTTTGATTCATTGATAATTAATTGATAATTTTTCAATAAAGTAAAATAAAGTAAAATAAAGTAAAATAAAGTAAAATAAAG